TAGTAGCACATACTTGCAAAGCACTAGAAAAAAGATTCGCAAAATATTGCAATGAAGTGGCAAATACAATGTTTAAATAATCACTTAGCACTTCATACAGTTTTGTTACAGGTCATCTGCAGCTAGGGCTTAGTAGAAGTTAAGGATTCTTTTTCTTGTGTTAAAGAATTCCCTCTTTTAATACTACAAGCTATTTAGCTAACTTCCACCACAATTAAGAAAGGAACGTAAAGATATCAGTGAATACAATTTCTATGGAAAAATAAAGTTGCTTTATGATTTTTTTTTAAACAATGTCATTTTATGGTTACGTTTATGTTCTCAAATTACATTTTGTAGGTATTAGTGTTACTCTGTACCTTCATAAATTCATTCTCAGGTTTCCTAATAACAATTAGAGAAAGGTACCAGGTAGAACTTACCTGCTACTCAAGTCTTACCTCTTCCCATACAGAAAGGGTTTTATTAATATTAGAAGAAGTGACAATATAGCAAGAACACTTATCTGGAGCTTATAAGAAAGACTCAATAGCTCCTACAAATTCACATGCTCTATCCATCCCTACAAGTGAACCTCTAGTTTTAGTTACGCAGAGTAACACATTTAATATTTCTGTGATTCTCAACATTCACAGGGGATTGCAACCACTCACTGAGGAGCTCAGAAAGCTCTGAATGGCTAAGCATCTTCAGATGACAGCCAAAATAGAGATAAGTGTTGGGATGAACTGTTACACAAGATTTTGCAGAGCCTATGATTTTCTTTTTAATTCTGACCAACTGGCAAAAAATAGTAGACGGTTATGTTTTTCGGTGTTATAGCTTACAAAAGTGTTTGGGAAGATGGACTGCTACTGTATGGTATGCTCAGATATTTTTTTGAAAGGTGAATGCAGTTCTTAAGCTGGCTGACACCGATATAACAAAGTGAGTGTGTGTCTAGACAGCACCCTGATTTTCCATTTGTCTTCCATTCTCTTAATGGCATCCTTCCTCTACCTCTCCTCAAAACTCCATATCAAAAGTTTATTGTGGGGGCTAAGAGGAGAAAGAAAAGGTAATCTCTTCCCCACGTGGTTGTGCAATAAAGAGATTTGACACAAGCAACATTACAGTATTTATGACTTTGATGTAAGCCAGCAAATTTGTTAGAAGCAAAGAGCATTCCAGTTCAAGAGGCTGGATTCTTATTGTCACGGCTCAACATCTTCTATAAATCTAGAGCAAACAAAAGCATCGGAAACAGTTGCATGAATTCTCCTGTCAAGCCAAGCAGCCAAAATCCCGTGGAAATCAAGCTAGTAGAGCAAAAGTCAAGAGCTGAGATAGATTTTATTCTGCATGCCTAGCCAGTTGATTCTAGGCTTCCTTCAGCATTGTTATTTTAGTTTGAAAAAAAAACCCCAACCAAAAACGAAACTAATTCACTTCTTAAGGGCTAATAACTGTCTCTTTTCTAGTTGTTAGGTTTTTAGATCTCTGTAAAATCCCTTTTAAATTTTCTGGGGGTGGTGGTGGGGGGTGGTGGGTGAAGTAACTGGACAACTATCTCCTAAACAGGACAGCGATAGAACTAAAAACACAAGTCAGACCTGTGTTGTATCCTGTCAGTACCCTGCTTTCCTTCTCAGTGGGAAGAAATTGGAGACTTCTACTCAAATGTTGGGTTTTTTTTAATCACATAGTCCTTTTCACCTTTCCTGTGAGAGCTTGCTTCCCCCAAGCCTTAGATTACTGGCTTGAAAGTAAATCATTAGAGTATCTAAAGCTTTGGCAGCTTACTTAAACGGAGTTATCAATTCATACATGAAACAAAAAGGCTAATTACTGCCAAAATATAAACACACTTCCTATTTACAGCAGACCTAAGTAGATAGTATCTTATCTAGTTCTCAAGTATTCTTGCTCTACACTGTCAATAAATATGCCCTCCACCTGTGACATTCACCCTGAAAAATTTGATGGCAACACTTTCTAACTAGTCTTGTGCTTGTCTATAACTCGGCAGTGTTATGGTGTAGGAAACTCATATCATGACAAGATTTTTCATGATTACGAGCAGTAGCTCAGCAATGGAATTCTCCTTTATGGACCTGTTCCAAGAACTGTCAAAAAAATCTTCCAGTTCAAGCAGGACAGTTTTGATCACCCCCTTACGTGGTTTAAAGAGTCCAATTTCTTTGTCAAGGTTCTCAGAGAAAAAAGGCAATTTCTCAAGGCACACAATATTAGTCCCCAACCGATCAGTCACTGTTACGAGACAAGCCTTGAGAGTCTGATGGCTGAGGTCTATTAACTGCTCACAAGATTGATAACAGGGTAAGTTGCAAAGGAAACGTTAGATTTTGAATCAGTTTGACAATCTTTTAAACTTCTGGCAATACCATAATAGAATAGATGCTGCCTGATACCCACAGATATTTAATCAGCAACTATTTCTCATTTACGATTCCATAAACAAAGAGAAAACTAACTGCATCTGCACAAGTCAGGAAGCTGAAGCCCTTTTCTTTCAATACCCACTTAATCTCTGCTCGGGAATTTCTCTCATGCTTAATTAGGAAACTACAGTGTGAAATAGCAGACTATGTAGTTACTTCAAACTGTGCAGCCATTATACATCTATAATGTCTAAGTGTGTTAATTTTTTTTTTTTTTTTAGGGTAACCTAGTGCTACTCCAGAGCAATACCATCCAGCCTTCTTATCTCCCACAGATTATTACAAAGATTTCTTTGTATTATGGTATATAAGAAAATGCAAACAAAAAACACCAGGGAGTTGTGCAGATTCATGCCAAAGCCCTGTTTTTCAGTTGTCCTCATATCAGACTTCAGAAATTGACAGTGCCTCAACTCTTCCAAAGAAAAAATTAGGTGGAGCTGGAGGTTGTCTAGCTGCGGGGAAAGCAGTCAGCTTTCTGTTCCCAGAATGACGAGGAGACTGAAAAAAGCAGTTCTCTTCAGAAGCAGATTTTTGCCTAGACAGAGAAGTGGCAGGAATTCTGAAGTGCTTTTAAGCCCAACCAGTTCTGGCTATGCAGCACATGGTCAGACAGGTGGTCACTGACTGTGCCCATCATTTCAGCTTTGTTCCTGTTCCAAACAAATGCTACACACTACTTCATTCACGCTGCTTGTGCCCACATAACCAGCCCTGATCTTTACAGTGGTTTACTTCAGCTTTGCTTACACCTCTTCTAAGTAATTAATTTTGCAGTTCATCTGATGAGTCCCCTCAGTCAATTTCACTATAATGTAAGTTAATTTCTATACTGTAACTGCACAGCTTGCAGGTGTAGACAGAACCCTTCGACTGTATGATGCTGTACATCTGAGAGAGAATTCTAAAAATGCGCTATTAAGAAACAGACATAAGAACTATTTTGACATCTATTATTTATAATATATAAGCAAACCCAGAATCAAAGATTAGAACTCAATGAGCCAGGCATCACGTACTTAGCATTGCTTACCCTTCAGAGCAGATTTTGCTTTCTCACTGCAACCCTGGAAGCATGAGACGTGCAAATCCAAGTAACATTAACTTGCTTCAGTGTTTTGACGTTATCAGTTCTTAACATCTGACCAACGTTAATTAATAGTCTTGAAAAGTCCATTATGGCTAAAAGTCAGCTGTTTCACAAAAAAAGGAAAAAGGCAACACTCCCAGTTCTGAATGGTGGAAGCACTAACAGCAGAATGGTCATACTGTTTTCCAAGAAAAATCATCTGGTTTCTCTACAGGTGAAAAGTTCACTGATGTTCTCCTGCGATACTTCAGTGCATATATCATAGTTTTAAATCTGACGTGCTACTTCAAAAGACTTCAGATGTAACAATCCACTTTATATTGGAATAACTACAGATGCTTTTGTATTCATAATTAGTCCTGGGCTACATTTTAGATGTAAATTAAAAGCTGTTTTACTGTAACCACACAGGGCCCAGATGTCTGGATTCTGTGACATTTTAATCTTTCTCTGCATTGACGGACATACATTTTTGAAATACTATTGCCCACCCCTATTGTAGCCTCATAATAGATACCTACAATAGCAGAGATATGAAAATAGTATATGTAATATAGTTATTCTACTTTTGCCCAACTTGTGTATTCTTGTCCATGTTTGTTCTTGTTGCAATGCATATTCCACCGTCTTCAATTTCTCCATAAAATATCCTTCTAGGATATTTATACCCCATCTCACTTTTTCACTTACCGAGTCTCTCCACCCCCTCAATCATGTGGTAGTACCTTTGACTTTGCGCATCACTGACCTGATAAACTAAGACTAAAAAGCCATTCACTTCTGTAATTTACAAGATACAACTGCAAAAAGTCTCACTGCATCAAGGTTATGGAGCATTTTAAAACATTATCTTGGCTGAGTGCTTCCATTTATGTAACCTGCTTTTCTTAATTTTCTTTGTATATTTGTATGAGAGTACACTAGACATTACCAGATAGATAAATTCAGATTTAAAGATAACATGAAGGAAACCCAAACATTTCACTAGAATGTTACCATTTTATCACATTAAAAGAAACAGGATTAAGCATGTCCCAGATGTGGTATAAGAGATTGTTTTTTATCTTTGACACTGTACTTGTTACACAGATACCATGACTGAAATTAATTACAAGCTCATACAGCCTTAATTATTCATAGTTATGTTCCATTCTAAAGGAATGTTCCTATATTCTTCAGCATATCTGATGGACAAAGCACAGTTCTGTAGCACTCAAAATCCTTGCAATGATTCACGTGAGCAAATTTTTTTATATCTCACTGTAATCTGTCCTTGTGTTGTCTACTCCAACAATCTTCAGAGGTGTGCATAGAAAAAAGGGTAAATGTAAAGTAAATTCTTCTATAAAACCTGAAAGTATTTTTTCTTGCTTTAATAAAAAGCTCTGTAGTATTGACTTAAGACAATTATATTCAACTATCCTCTTCCTTACAACAAGTATTGCAAAATTAGCAAGTCACGTTCTCCATTTCTATCTTTAGTCTCCCTTCCAAAGAGTCCTCCTGAACTGAAAGATAAAAGATGTTCCCAGAAACAAAACCATAAAGACCCCCAAAAAATGTGAATACAGCAGTTTGAATTGGAAGTAACTGTCAGATGGTTTTGATCAAGGTAGTCTATTCCAATGCAAGAAGCCATTTTAATGAATGTATGATTAACGAGAAAACTGCCGACTGTCCGATTTCTTGCTAATGTGTTTGAAGATTTTAGCTTTGTGGACGTTCTTCGATTTCTGGTAACCAAATCCCCCACCTCCACCTCTTTTCTGGAGTCTTCTGCCATGGTTGCTGTTCACATCTGGAATTTTGTTGGTTAAAGAAGGAATAATTTGAAATGTTGCTTTTTAGGTATTGTAAGAGTTCTTAACGTGAGAAAAAGTAGCAGCATTATACAAGAAGCTGAGTTGCATAACTACAGACAAAACTAGAACTTTGTGACTATGATTCTAAATAATGCTTTTATTCCTCCAGTTGTCCGAAGCACTACTTCTTCAAATTCCATCCACTGGCAGGTTTGACAGTAACCTAGATACAGTCTTCTATTTCATGCTCTTGTCCCTCTATTTCAATATTCCCCGATTACTAAACTTAAGCACGGACCTTTCAATGAAAGCAATTTTGCATGGGCATGGAGAACAGTGCTCTAGAACACGTATGCATTCCAGTATCTGCTACCCCCCCGCAGCAACTGCGGTACATACGACACATACATGCACCAAAACATGGATGTTGTTTGTAGGCAATTTTTGCCATTTTAATATTTGCTATTTAACATTTTGTTTGATAAACTATTGTTGCAGAATGATGCATTTATGTGATAAATAGCAAAAAAAAAAAAAATCAGAATTTGAAGTACCACAGAAATTTTGTAAGTCGAACTTAACATTTTATAAAGCAGAAATTCAGCCTTCAAACAGTGCAGTAAAAGGATACTGAGGTCGACAAATGGAGGAACTTTAAAACCAAACGAAAGGCTGACTTTGGGAAGATCCAAGTTATTGACATCATAGATCTGCTTCAGAGAATGGGAGTCGTAAGCTCTGATGTAAGCTTTGTATGCTTCCTGGGCTGACTTGTGAAGGAAGTAGTTCTTCTCAATCAGTTTCTCCAGCTGGTGAAGAGGAAAAAAAAACAAATCCAAAAGACATATTGAATTATAGCTATAACAGGGGTATAAATTATATTCAAGCAAATTATTTACTGTGTGAGCTGCAGTGACATTCCCTGTTCACTTCAGCAAAATTGCCCTGTGACAGTAGAGTGCACATACATATATCAGAGTACTTTTATAAACAAATAGAGGGACAAATTAGCTTGAAGCAGAATTACAGTGCAAAGCCTCAGCAACATGCAGATTTACAGAAATATTAAATTGGGTTGTCCCAAACAAGTTAATCAAGAAGGAGTATACAACAGCAGTCACACCGTGAAACTATGTATATTCAGAATTAATGGACGACAACAGTATACTTTTAAGTCAGACATCTAAACTGTACCATTCCATGTAATTCTATATGTAGTCTGGTCTATTATGGTGCAAATGCATTGTAAAATACGCAATATTAATTCTAAGACAAAAATGCAGATGCAGTAGTGTAGACCGAGACATTTTATTTGTTGCGGGCTAAGTTCCTGATACTTTTTAGGTCAAAGTGTCTCATTTGATGTTTAACATACATTAATTCAGCATTCTAAAAATAAGTTACATTAGACATCATTACATCCTAATTATTCTTAACTGGGAACCTCCTTCTGTAAGGACTGTCTTCACTGTTTCTTGTACTTGCTATTTCAAATTTAAACTTACTGCAAAGAAGCTTTACAGAGCTCTTATCAAAAGAATAATTCACAGAATTAAGTGACAACAGAAATTTGCATTCACAGAACTAACTATACTATTCTATCCAACTTTGTGCTCCATGGCTGTTTTTGCAGCACTGGAGCACAGAACAGGTTTAGCTGATAACTGGGGTTTATTAACATCATTTCAATACACCTGGAGTATATATACTAGCATTTCCAAGTGTTGGTACTGGATCTCATTCTGCACACTGAAGTCTGAGTAAATCCTTTTATAAGGCACGTTACTCCCAATCAATCTGAACATACGTAACTATTCAATAAAAGCTAAAAAAACCCCGATTGCTATGCTAGGCAAGAACATTCCGTTCAAAAGTTGAAAGCAGGTTTGCAACACTGTGGTTTTGCCATGTAATGCAAAATACCAATTCTTCCAAGCAAATTCATACCGTATAATGATGACAGTTTAGTACTGGATATTAAAATTCATCTTTAATTTCAAAACATTTTATTGTTTTAATGTCATAGAAGGACAATATGGCAGGAGTATTTACAGCACAGTAATCATCTACAGGAACTCTTCCAGACAAGCACACATATTTTTAAACTTCTGTTATTATAGACTATAACATTCTCTATGTAAATTATTACACAGATATTCAGAGTAGCTGTAGTATGAAGTCATTTCATACCTGAGACTGGATGTCTGAAATTTTTGACCAAGAAAATTCAAATTCACTTAGTGGTACCTTAAAAAAAAAAATAAATATAAAAATTATTTATACTGTGTAAACCCTGAATACGTTTAAGATCCAAGACAAATAGAAAAAGACCTGCAAGATAACAGAAGGGATTTATTTTTAATACCACAGCTGTATCCGTTAATATGTAATTACAACTCTCAAGTTCAAGGATGTCTTTGTGAATGAAAAGCACACCTGTACATATCTTTAGGTTTCTGGCACCATCTTTTTTTCAAAGCAATGATGACACCATTATACCATTACTACCCTTATCATACGCATAAAGTGCCTTTATACCAATACGCCAGTATTATCACTTCCTTTAAGCTTGAGTAATAAAGAAGCTCACAGCATAAGCCCATAAGGGGAACAACCACAAAACTATGTGCGGTTCTATCATATTAAAATGATTACATTTAGAAGGCGGCTACCCTTCTTTTGGAACAGAACAAAATGCAATTGATGATTTGAATAGAAAAAATAAAAACTGCATGAACCACATCCGGGTTTGAATTTCCTCTGAATGGCCAAGCTCCCAGTGTCCCTCCACAGACAGAACACAGGAAATTTATCTATTTTTTTAATAATACACTTTGCACAGTTGCAAGGCAAATATAAATACACTCAATATTTACCTTTGTTCTGCTGACTTTAGACTTTAAGTCTGATGTTCAGTTCAATATTTTCTAAGCAACAGAATGTTTTTTGCTTAAAAAATTAAAATGTTTGATTAATCTTTACAGGTTTTGCCTTCAAAAGCTGTTACACAGTAAAAAACAAAAACAAAACCAACAAAACCCACAACCCAAACCACTAAAAACATGTAGACATAAGTTTACCCTGGCTTGTTTTAGGTAACGAAGAAAGCCCAGCTCTTCTGGTCGTAAAATGAGCAGAGCGTGTCCTCTACCATTTATGCCTCTGGCAGTTCTACCAACACGATGAATATATTCCTTTTGGAAGAATAAGAAACAGCAAGTCCAATCAGTCTTTCAAACATGTAATAATCAAACAGCTTCACAAACCACCCTCCCAAATTTAACATTAATATAGTGTAATGCATCATTTGTTATTTTTTAAGACTTTTTCTTAGCATTAACGCATGGATGAGTGAAACCAAGTGCTGAAGATGCAAAGTATAGTTAGGCTGAGACAGAAACCCCTGACTAAAAGTATTTTACCTTTTACTGAAGCAAAAAAAGAAATTTTAGTCTGCTGTGACTGAAAATTAAACTTTGCTTTTGGTATATTTGCTTTGTATATTTGTCAAAACTTCTCAGTATTTTGAGTTTCACTTGTTTACACTGAACATTTATTCAAGTAAGAATACTGATTTTTAAATAAAAATCAAATTTCCATTGGAAAAACCTGTTTAGGAGACTCAGGGATTAAGATATAAACTCACACTCCTCCTGAGAATTGTTTTGTTGTTTAGCTGATTAGATTTTAAATTAATTTAACAGCACAAAGAATAATGTTTTAAAAAGCAACTCTTAAAAATGTAACAAAGGTCTCAGCTAGGTGCAGCATTTTCTAGGAGCTGGTGGAGAGAAGTGGAAGAAATCAGCTGCTGGATATGAACACAGCTGGATCCTGACCTCTGTCAAGCAGCAGTTGCAGCTTTTCTCTGCAACTGTGTTTGTAGCTAGGCTTTGATTTGTTGCTGTGAAGTTCCTCTATTTCCTTAACTTACTTTTGGATCATCTGGAGGGTCATACTGGACGATCCAGTCAACTTCAGGAATATCCAGTCCTCTGGCAGCTACATCAGTGCACAACAGTATTCCAGATTCTGCATTACAGAACTGGAAAAATGTTGTAGTACGTTTGGTTTGTTTCTGCTTGCCCTAAAAGGAAAGAAACACATGAAGGATGAAAGTGCCACAACAACAAAAATATAATCTACCAACTTGTAAGCGTAAAGTTCACATATTATATCACTGCCAAAAATATAAAATAATATGAGGCATCTTTCTGTATCACGGACTTGTACAGACCAAACAGGACCATTTCACAGTGAAGAAACAATGTTAGCACAGTCAACAGCACAGGGCTACATGAAATGGTTTCTCTCAGAGATAACACTGGATCTTCCAAAGCATTAAAAATTTGGTTGCACAAGCATTTCTTTCAAGAGGGCTGCATAAATGCTTTAAGTCCAGAAAAAGGACATTTGCAAGTCTAGCAATTTGTTGGACAGGTTTAAAAGCAATAAGAATACTTTTAACAGTTCTATCAAAGTGTAGCAAAAACAAAACCAAAAAATAATTAAAAGGGAAAAAAAAAAGGACATTTGTGGTCACTTATAACTATTTCATAAACTTTCAGTCAATTCTTTTTCCTAAACTATGCATTTTGTGGTTTTTGATAAAAAAACGTATCCTACTCATCCAAATGGTTAAAATTAACATAGTAAAACCAAACATCACCCTGGCCTTCGAAAAAGCACCCAATACTCCAAGGATCAGTGTTTCGATTCCTCCAATAACTTACCTCCACAAATTGAGTTTTAATGCTTATGAAAAGTAACCCCTGGGAAGAAAACAGATAGCTCTCTACACACAGAACATTGATTAATATTAAGTGTTTAGCCCTGGTTTGGAAGATAGCAAGATTAACAATGTTGAACTGATGTTACTACATATTCTTTTATTTATCTCCTTCCTGTACAGGCTAATCAAGATCATCATCAGTTTTGTGAGCAGGGTATCTGTTTATTAGAAACTGGACTGAAATAAACAAGACAAATGTAAGGTCAGTAACAACTTACAGGTACTATCAGATTAATTAATCAACTAATAAAATACTTACATGAATGGCCAAAACAGGGAGATCAATATAGTTGAGTAATTCATAATGGTACTTCACTGACATACATGAAGAAAAAAATACCATTAGTTTTTTCTTCCGGTTCTTCTTGAGGAATGTGAAGAGCAAAAGGAATCTTTTTTCAGATGGACACACTACATACCCCTGGAAAATTTTTAAATATTGTTGAATAAAGTAGTATGGAACAAACTTTTGCTTCAGCTATACAATTCAATCAGGGAAGTGTTATGTTGTGAAACAAATATGCAAACCAGTTAATTTTTTCAGTTATATTGGGCCAAACCATTCAATTTACTCTCTCTCCCTCACTTTGGTATATGAAACTCCTAAAGATGACAAACTTGGCAAGAAACTTACTGTAATAACTTGAAATACAAAGAAGTAACTTTTAATTAATTATCCTAACTAATGTAAGTTCAGTGAAAAGTAAGTAGTTTATACAATAAAAATTGATTTCAAGAAATCTGAATTACTGACATTACCCATGAAAATAACTGCATAGGCTTCTTAACACTTTTTATGATTTCAAGAATTTTATTTTATGGAATTCTTGCTACCAGTTTACTCTTTTAAGGCAATACATAGCTACTGGTAGTTTTTTAAACACCACTCATATCAACTGCACACACCCAGATACTGCTGTGCAACTCCATTATCTGAAGCAGCAACAATGAAATATATCTGAAGTAAGTGTATGTCTAGTCAGTAACGTGGAAAATACAGTTAGAAAGAAAACTGGGACTTAGGTATGTAATATAAATAGGAATAGAAAAATGTAAGTAACTATATTACTGTCTCATGAGGTTTTATATCATCTGTCCTGCAAACATTGACTAGATGCATATAACTTACCATAGTTAGCAGACTGAATAAAGCCCTTTAAGCAACTGATAGCTTTTGCCCATTAGCATGGGAAACACCCTTTAAGATAGTGTTTGTACAACCCAGTTACAAAGACACAGGATTTGGTATGTTCACAGATCATAGCCCTTTTAATAACATTTGTGTTTTACCTGTTCAAGACCATCTACTGTTGCAGTCTCCTTGTTATCATCAACCCCAACATACAGCGGCTCTTTCTTCAGAGAGATCTTTGCCAGATCTTCAACCTTTCTGGTTTGTGTAGCAGAAAAAAGCATTGTCTGCCTCCGCTCTGGAAAAAATATTTATTTTGAAAGAGAGCCTCATTTTTGAAAGGAGAATTCAAGTTGCAAGTCCATAAAATCTCTAGCTGTAAACTTCCCTGAGCAAGTCTTCTACTTTTTTCAATTAAATTCTAATTCAAACATACTGCTAATGACAAATAAAGACAGGTGTAGTTTTATTAAAGATTGTACAGGATGTTTACTTAGGCTGCTCCCACCCCCAAAATCCTAACAGCTATCAAAACACAATTATTCTTTCTCTTTGGAAATGTTAATATTGTCATTTGCACTCCAATATAGACATGAGACAACTATTTAAATAGAGACCGAGCTTGTAATTCTAACCGTAAATTGATTTAATTCCCATGTCAGTGAAAAGTTTTTTTTGTTTTGTTTTTTTTTTTTTTTTTTTAAAAGAAACCAAATATGCCAGAGATTGTGCAAGAAAAAACTTACCAAAACTGAAGTGCATTGTTACTGTTTGTCTTGCAAAATCAGTCTAGAACCTACACATTTGTGCATGCTATTTAGTCACGTAGCAGCATGTCTGTACTGAGCCTCAGTGACTTCAGTGATCTTAGAGCAGGGGTAGGGTATCTCCTGCCTGCCTGTCATCTCACAGCTCAAATATATATCCTTGTCCTGTAACATTTTCTTGTTACATGAGCACACGGAAAACACAGACTTAGCCTGTCCCATTTCACAACTGTGAGAATAGTAGCAACTGTTCTTGCTGAACAACTGGTGCCACCATTTTTTAATATCTTTTTATTTTCTATTTTGAAGGATCTGTTTTAAAATATAATTTCCTTCATAATGAGACAAAATCAAATTAAACTCATGCACAGTAAAAATTTCTTTTATCTATCATTTTCCACTTTGTGAAGAATGTGTCATTTTCCCAGTCGTCCTTCCCTTTCTTTTTAGCACTGTCCATTTACCTTCTTCACAGAATGTTATTTATTAGATTTATATATCTGCATTTTAAAACATGCAAATCTGAATTTTAATATTTAAGATGAGGAACCTCAAAATATTTGTCACCAATTTCTTTTATATACTTATTTCCATGTCTGTTTTTTTTTTTTTTCCTGCATTTTCAAAGTTAAAGGGAGAGCGTTGTTGACTCTGAGAATGTGTTTAAATATGTCAATTACACTGAACAACTAAATGAAAAATTAGGAGAAGAATATTTTAAGGTAAATACTTAAACTTCCTTAAGGTGCTGTTCTTTGATGTATGAAGAAAATGCGAACCATAATTCAGAAGACCTTTTTCCTTATGTTTAAGCCTTATTAGAAAATAATGAGTTGTAGGAAATAAATGGACAGAGGAAGATGAATGAGAGAACGCAATGTTAAACTAAAAGGATTTTACATGACCAGAATTATATCCCTAAAGTGCATATGAAAACTCCCTCCTTCAGATAAAAGATGTTAAATAAAATAACGTATACTATCAGGAAAAAAGGACTGAGTAAGACAATTACTCGCAAGTGCATTTACAAAACTATAAAAATTAATGACTTCTCTTATAATAATTGAGTCATAAAGAAGACATAACGTTAGTCAAGTGATTTCCAGGAAAGAGAGATTCTCCCCCCCCCGCCCCCTTACTTGGTAGAAGTTTTATGATCTGTTTCATTTCTTCTTCAAATCCAACCTCCAAGATACGATCCGCCTCATCAATTACCAAACACTGCAAGTTCTTGTACATGAAACCTGGAGTGTTCTACAAGATTAACAAATTTGGAGTCAGACAGGGAGAGGAGTTTTATTATGTTTTAATAACACAGATTAGACATCAATATTTTATCTACCTGCATATGATCCAGCAGTCTTCCCGGTGTTGCTACAATGATGTTGATTCCATTTCCAAGTTTCTGTGCTTCTGCTGATCTGTTACTGCCCCCCATTATCAGACCATAGGTGTGAACATGGTGATTCATAAGTTCTTTAAGAACTCCATAGGTTTGCATGGCAAGCTCTCGAGTAGGAGAAAGAATAATAACACCCGTTCCTAAAAAAAAAAAAATACATCAGACAAGAATAAGTTACAACAACTCATCCAATCTCCCTCCCAGCCACATCCCTAAATGGCTGCGCCACAGAAAAATCCAACTGTGAAATGAAGAGCCTTACCATTTCTAGGCATGAATTTTAACTTGTAGATGAGCTCTACTGCAGGAATAAGAAATGCAAGTGTTTTGCCACTGCCCGTTTTTGCAGCTGCTAGAATATCCCTGCATGCAACAAAGTTAGAAAGAAAAATATTTAGTTAATGCTACAGAGAAAAGAACAATCCTGTTTTGAACAGTGTTGACAATGTAAAAACGTAACACAGCACCCAGGAAACCGTGAGAGTTGGTATTAAGTGCTTGGTGGCAGATAGGGTTCACAGCAATTGGTCACCATGTCTCTACAGATTCTCTGAGACACAATGACATGAGACTACTGAAAACAGACTTCCCTGCTTTCAAAGCCAAGTGCAAAGCAGTTTCCATGAGTTTACCCTCAGTATTTGTTCACACACAACAGATATACTGTGTTAACTTGTATTAATGTCTATAAATGAAATATTTAAAACATATGAGAACATACTTTTTTTAAAAAAAGTTTAGCTGCAGAAAGTCACATTTCATATATTTAGCGCGCTAACAAAATTTACACAACGTTTGGGGTCAATATAGTGATGAAGATACGCATTTCTTACCTGCCTTCCAGAAGCGGCTTAATACTTTTATGCTGAATTTCAGTCATATGCGTAAAACCCATGTCATTTATGCCTTTCAGTGTATTCTCACTGACAAGACCAGCCAAGGAAGTAAAAGAATTGTCTTCAAAAGCACCTGAGAAGAGGGGAATGAAAAAAAAATAAAAATAAAAAAAAAAAAAATCAAACTTAATTCTTCCGTTCCATCTGTCCTATGAGATTACTCAGTTAAAAATTTACATAGATGAAAAAAAAACAAGTCTGAAAGCAAAGGACTTTTTCTTATTCCTTTCTACCATAAAATCTGAAGGCACTGACATATTACTCTGTATTAGCGTGTTCCTAAGAATACTACACAGAGCTGTTACAAATGAATGCACTGCTTCTCATGCCAGATTTACTAGTCACACACCTCCATCTTGCTCTTTGTTGACTTTTTCTTCTACAATTAAACATATATGTGTGTACGTATGTTTTAAAACAGATTTTCAATAGTAATTTTAAGACTAATAGGACTGTGTGTATATAATGTAAATTTCAAAGAACAGGAACCCAGTAACAGCTGTACAGCTGCCAGTGTGGTATCACCTGTATTCAAACACCCAACTTACAAAGCTAATTTGAAAACTGCAACTTGCTCTGGAAGAAAGCGTTAGACCTTGGATTTTTGCACACGTATGAAAAAGAGGGCATGAGATACCTGTTACACCTAATGGTAAACTGGGCACTTCATCCTCCTCCTCCTCTTCCTTCTCTCCAGAATCCTGCTTATCTTCATCTTCTACCTCCACAGACTCATCTTCAGTCTTCACTTTTTTAGTTTCTGTATCTAGAGTGTTATTTTACAGAAGACAAGTCAGTTAGAGATACAAAAGACATCTTCATCATTAAAAGCTGTTCCACTGAGTGAATTTCTTTAGTCTGTAAACCGCTTACAAAGGTCATGCTTTTTTCATAGGGTGGGAGAGGGGCAGGAGAAGGGGACGCAGGGTTTCTAGGGAAATTTCTGAGTCAGCAAAAATTCAGAAGTTCCTTGCACACAATCCACTGCGCACAGCCAAACAGTGGAGCTTAATGTACTGTATGAAATTTTCTGTGGAAACGTGGAACAAGTTACAAAATTCTTTCCTATCTGCAATGCAGACATCAAGTTTCCAACACAGTTGCTCTGTGCTCTGGTCACGTGAAATGTAATGTCTGTTCCGTTCCAAGTACCTGAATTCTCACAGAACTGCATGAAAACACCTCGTGGTTATGCAAATAAAGAGAAGTGTCACAAAGATCAAACTCGTAAAAGTTCAGATACACATAGAAATAGATGTATGTGTGTATATATGTATAAAAACATATAAAAATAAAGCCGTATTTGCAGGGTGCATTTTTTGGGGGGGTAGTTTCCCAGTATACTTAGTTTCATAGTATACAGATGTTGCCAAAGGCTGAATGAGTTGCGAAAAAGACGTACTGGCTGGATGCATGTTGTAGTTCAACTGCTACAGCTGGAGAGGGACTTTTTACAAGTGAATGTAGCAATAGGACGACGGGCAATGGCTTCCAACTATCCCAAGAGGGGAGATTTGGAAGATATTAGGAAGAAATACTTCACTCTGAGGGTGGTGAGGCACCGGCACATGTTGCCCAGAGAAGCTGTGGATGCCCCATCCCTGGAGGTGTTCAAGGCCAGGCTGGATGGGGCTTGGAGCAACCTGGGCTGGTGGGAGGTGTCCCTGCCCATGGCAGGGGGTTGGAACTCGGTGGGAACCGACACATGGTACTTCTCACACCGCCCGTCTGACAAATCCCCTCCACCCAGGCGGAAAACGAGAGTGGGCGCTTTTTGGGGTCTCCGGGGATAACTCAGCCCTGGGTGACAAGTTGTATTTGTTAAGATAATGTACCATTTTCCACATGAGCCGCCGCTTTCCTCTTTTTTTTCTTCCTCTTCTTCTCCTCCCCGCCGCGAGGCCCGGCGCCATCCGCGCCCTCCGAGGCCGCTCCGGCCGCCGCCGCCTCCTCCACCTCCTCCTCGGGGGGAA